AACATATTTTCAGTGGGATAAGAATGTGTCTGTGCACTGTCCTATATACAGATGTCTTCTAAATAGAAATGTAGATCAAAGCTATTCAGTGTTAGAAATCATTCTTCGTTTAAGGGTGTGGGAGGTTACAGAAAGTAAAGAAGAATAATGTGAAATATTTTTCTATAACTTCTTCCTTACCTGTTTTACAGGACTGTTGAAAAGGCTTACAACGTTAAAAGTAGATGACAATCAGCTTACAATTCTGCCAAATGCAATTGGAAAGTGAGTGTCTCATGATTTTCAACATTAAGTAAAAGGCGTTTTCCCTTCTGCTTGCGGAGTGTGGGGGATTTAAAATAAAAAATAAGACAAAAATGTACTGAATTGTAAAATAATTTCAAAATGTGTGCCTAACACCCGGCTTATAACATTTAAATTTGGAGCAGCACTTACTTCTGTGGACTTAACACTGGCGTAAGCGATAAGAAGACGAAATGTATCACGCTGTGCAAGAAAAAGCACAAAGATATTTTTCCGTGTGAATCTCTTGCAATTTAGATGATTAGAGCAGCAAAAGTAGAAGAAACAGAAGTATTTGGGAGAATACGTCTGTTTCCATAGCAACAGCCACTACTTGATGCTGAAAGGAAAATGGCTGTAAACCTCGTATGTGTGAATATTTCTTAAAATACTGAAGTAGCGTAAATGAAGAAGTCGTGACAGTTTCATAGGTGCACACATCGAAATGTGAAGGTGCCATCTAAATAATCCTATTACGAAAAGCACCAACGATGCCCTTTAGCGATCCTTTTGTCAGATACTGGTGCAAAACTCTTGTCTCATGCTGCTGTGTGTCTTGAGTTTATTGCTCAGGGAAATCTGCAATTTGTGTAAAATTCCAGGCAGATGCAAGCTTGTCTCCAAGTCGGGAGACAGGTGATTCTTTGTATTGTTCCACATTACACATATCCCCTTTCTGGGAGAACATGAGCATCGGTATTTTGTAGGATGTCTCTTCCTCTACATATTTTACTTCTGAAATGCTATCTAAACCGGTATTTGGAAAAAAAAAAAATCAGAATACATGGTGGCTGGCTGCCTTCTACAGCTATAGCTGTAGTGTTTTCATCATCCCCCTTGCCCCAGCAGTAGTAGCCGTGCAGAAAAAACAGAGTTTAGCCCAAGAAATGATTGTCTGGTACCAATTTTGCGCTGTCAGCATGAAACGTTGGGAATGGGCAACGTTGAGCAGCGTTGCATTCGGACTCTGTGCTTTTGCTCTCAGTGCAAAAACCCTTCCCTCTCCAGCAGGTTGTAGCTCTACAAACTGTTTCATTCGAAGTAGTTTTCTTAAGCCAGGGCAGTTTTGAGGCTTCCAAAGTTAAAGCCTAGAAGGGTTCATTTAGACTTGTCCAGAAATACAATAGTATGGTGAGGTCTGGAATAGAAATAGAATTTCTGGAATAGAAATAGAATTTCTGGAATAGAAATAGAGTTTCTAGAATAGAAATAGAATTTCTAGAATAGAAATAATCTCTAACCTGCACAGCCGGTGCTTTACTATTCCTGCACCCATTTTGTAGTAATAATTCCAATAATAATTTAGTTGTTGGTTTGCCAGGCAGGAAGTAATATCCAAATTTATGAACTATTACAACTGGAGCAACTTGAAAGCCCAGGTTCACACAAATCACTGTGCAGCAATAAATTCTGAGAGGCTGTGGAAGCTCACAAGGCTCAGAGCTGTACTGGACACTGCAAAAAGGTTGATATAATGTCCAATATTATCTTTAATAATTTTGTGGGTCAATTTTTTAAACTTTTTGTATTTATTGAAGGAACTCCTCTCTTCTTTTAACCTAATATCTGGTTGGAATTGTTTGTCATGGAGCCTTCATGACATTTTTAAAGATGCACACTGCTGCTCTGAGCGGTGTATATGCAGAGCAGTAGGCTAATCACCTGCTACCATCACTTCATTTTTGAATGATTGGTCATGCTTTTTAAACGAAGTACTTTCTCTCCTTTAGTGAGGGCAGTGTCTCCCACATCAAAATGAACTTCCTTTCTCTGACTCATCCATTTGGATAGTTTCCTACTGGGTGTCTCTCTCTCCTAAATGGCAGACACAGTCCCCACTGCAGAGTGTATTATTGTCACGCAAAGATTAGCAGCGTGGAGGAGGAAACTCTCCCTCCAGGAACCAATTTCACGATGACACACGGAGCACTTCACCCCTGAGTTGATGCTGCTAATAGTGAACCTCCACCCTCGTTTTTGGCAGCCTTGTTCAAAGGGCAAGCCTGTTGAGTGGCTTTTAGAACTTGACCCTGCAAGATCCTGTGCACGGTAGACCCAGATTAATAAAACATTCCGCATAAAATCGGTGGGTTCCCGTGGGTTAAGTACTTTACCAAACTGGACCCAAAGACTGGAGATGGTGTCTGTAGGACCTGAGTGAACGCCCATCCTTGCCTTGGTGGGTAGGAAGGCGTCGTGAGGGAAGTGGTGACCCGTACGGTGGTGATGATGCCGTAGCATTGAGTTAGGTGGGTGGTTTGTGCGTGTGCCCAGTCTGTACCATACCTGACAGTTCCACATGCTGCAAAGGGAGGTGTAAACTTGTATTCCTGGGTCTGCAAAATTCCTTTTGCCTGACATTGAACAAATAGTGGGTGTAGCTGACTCTCGGGATTTAGGCTGCTTTGGCACTTTTCTGGGAGAAAAGGTCTGTGACTGTATGAAATGGGGCTGAGATGGGTTGGGACTACTTTTTTATTCATGGCAGTCTTCATTCTCCATGAATCTCTCTCTACTGATCTGTCTAAAAATATTCCTCATCTACCTTAGCACGTGTACTGGGAACTACCCCATTTCAGTGGGTGCCACACTGAACAGCAGCTGCGTATCTGATTTTTGTCTGCCTTTCTTTAAACCTGTCAAGAATGATCTGAATTCAGCCAGTAAGGTTAATGATATTTTAGCTAAATTAGCGTTGTTGGAATTACAGCTGTTGTTGTCAACTGACTTTCATGCCCAATCCATGATGAATGCAAAATCACTTTCTGAAGTGCATGTTTTTTAACCCTGGTAGTTACAGAGATAAAATATAGTTTCACACTGACTTTGTTTTTGTTGTGGCCATCTTCACTTGTCTGCTGCTGATGTCACCAGGAAGGAAAGAAGCTGAGAACGTCTGTGCCAGACAATACCTTTCAAATAAAATTCTGTTGTCTGGTAAAGTCATTCTTCACTGTCAGGGAAACTTCCACAATTACAGATCAAAGTATCAGATTTTTCTGATTTCCATCGGAAATGTAGTATTTCTCTATTAGCTTATCTATTTTCCAACTTTTCTGGTTGTGTTATCATCAGTGAAAGGAAGAATGTGTGTGTCTCACGATTTAACAAGCTTTCCAGTTGGACTTTGCTCTGTCAAGCACGTATTCTGTGTGAAGTAGGTAAACATGGCTGAATTACGCCTTTACTGAAATTGTTTTGTATCTGGTTTGAAATAAATTGTGGTGGATACAAAGCTGGTATTAGAGAAAAGCCATGACTGAAACCTGGCAGAGCTTTTGGATGTGTTCCATGCATCATTGCCACTAATCACTGTATGACTCACTTGGGCTTTTCAGCCTACTGAAATACAGCAATTAGGGGAAAGTTCTGAGAATTCCGTGTTAGGCGTAGCTATTTCTGGTTTCATGTTTCAGAAAATTTGGAGGCTGAAGAACCTTTTTTTTTAATTAAGCAACTGGAATAAAGGCGAGTTAGACATACAGTGAAGGTCCAGTCCTGCAGCTGTGACTCTATAAATAGTGAGGAGCAAGGTTTGTAGGAGAGGTAAACTTTTTTATCAGATCTACCAAAATATTTGGAAAAAAACCCGAACAGACAAGCTTCTGGGCACCTAGTCCCTTCATCAGTGGACAAGGAGATGACAAATGTTGAGGGAGAAGTAATTGCTTGCCATTTTACCTTACTATTCATCAAAACACTCGAGAGGAAAAGGTAGTACATACCTGTGGGGCAAAAAAGGGGCAGCAGAAGCAGGGAATGGTGGCATTTGTAATGGGTCACAAAACTTTTATTCCGTGAGCCAAATGAGCAATGCAGTGCAGCATTTGTTTCAAGAGTTTCTGTATCCACCCTAATTCTTTAAGAGATTCGGTAGATGTTTCTCCAGAATATTTTTATATGTATGGTGGGGGTGTGTGCATAATATATGTGTAATATGTCTGTGGTTTTATAAATCTATGTATATAACATGTACTGCCTGTGTATATTCCTGTTTGTAAGTGCTGTTTGCATTAGTCAAATTGTTGATTCTTAATCACCAAAGTAGGGTTGATGCTCAGCGTTGCCTGATACCATCTGCGGTCTTCAGGGAAAAGCAAACACTCAAAAGAGCCCCGAGGGTTGAGTGATGGGCTTGGACAGGGCCCCCACCAGCAAGAAGGTGCCTCTGAAGGCTCTTTGGTGCCCAAGCAATGGTGGGGAGGTTCAGGTGCTGACTGTCAGCTCTCCAACTCATTTCACAACTTCTTCACGGACAATAAGGTGCCGGATTGTGCCGAGTGCCGGCTCCGCGCGCTGGGAAGCTGCGCGTTCTCTATAGGGACCATGCTGGGGGCTGTGGCTAACCTGGACCTCAACTCAACGGGGTTTCTGTCTGCTCTCTGCTTCATCCTCTGCCCTGAAAACATGAGTTTGGGGTGGACAGGTCAGGTCTCTTTCTTTTCACGCTTTGACAGAATGCCGCAATCGAGGAAAAGGGATATAAGACAGAAATGGGGATTATTTCTTTTTTTGTAAAAGAGAGAACTGGAGTGTCAGAAGATTGCTTGCTGTGATCTGCTCTGTTTCGGTCCTTGCCATACAGATACCCTTTCCAGATCACTTTTCAGCCAACTTTCTCCACACGTGGAAGATAAGCACTTCTACAGAAGCTGTGTCTGACTACAACAGGCTGAGATTACTTTGCTGAGTTTGGATCCAAGTTCATCTTTTGTCGCTACTGATCTGTATTAGAAATGATGCCAAGAGCATCAGCTGGAATGGGCCCTGGAGGCAACTCCTGCTTGCCTTTCCCGTGCTCTCTCCAGCAGTATTTACCTGTTTTCTGTCTTTGTCTGTTAAGATTATGAACTTTTTGGTTTGATTCTTCACCTTAGTATCAATTGTGCTGGTCACAGTCTGTTTGAAGTACTTGAAATACTTCCTCACTGCACAAAGTAGGAATGACAATGTGGGGGAACGAAGTGGTCTTTCTTCCACTGCCTTACTGAGTAAGACTGGTCGACAGTGTCCCTAATAGTTCCTGGAATCATGTTATTAGAGACTTCTCCTCGGGAAATCTGCAACAAAGACTCCCTCTTCAGGGTGTGATGTCTGTAGTGGTGTGATGCTTTAAAACTGTCACAGGTTTTAGATTGTTAATTTTTGTTGTCTAGCCCTTGTGTAGCGTCTGACAAGTGTATTTACAATTTCAGTTTATCTTTATTAGAAGAATTTGACTGCAGCTGTAATGAGTTGGAGTCCTTACCTTCTACCATCGGCTACCTTCATAACCTGAGGACGTTGGCGGTGGATGAGAATTTCCTTCCTGAACTGCCCAGAGAAGTGAGGAGCTGATTCTGTTTTTAAATTACAGAGTGGAATGTTTTGTGGTAGGCCCAAGATTTCATCCCTACTCCGACAAAATACCCGTTAAAACAATTGTTTCTGCATGACGTGGAAGACCAAATCTTTGTTACATAATACTAAAATAGTAAAACCAGTAAATTAGTAAATTCACATAAAGGTGAGAGTATCACTCAGAAGAGTGGTGCAAGTAACTGTAGGCATCTCCCTGATGCTGCTGACAAAGGGAGGGTGTTATTTTCTCACCAGATTCTGTATTTTACATTTGCATTTTATATTACATTTACATTTTCTATTACACCAGCAACCTGGTGTGGTGGAGGGTGTCCCTGCCCATGGCAGGGGGGTTGGAACTGGATGGTCTTTGAGGTCCCTTCCAACCCAAACCATTCTGGGATTCTATTTTCTGCTTTTTGTCAGTTATAGTAAAAAAACAATTTGGCCACCTCCCAACAGAAAAAGTTAGTGATAATGAATTTTGTCAGAGTAGGTATATCCTGACGTCTTTGTTTTTTTCCTTGGGACAGATTGGAAGCTGTAAAAACGTAACAGTGATGTCTCTGCGCTCGAACAAGCTGGAATTTCTTCCTGATGAAATCGGTCAGATGCAGAAGCTGAGGGTCTTAAATCTGAGTGATAACAGGTATAGTTCACATCATTTTTCTAACCCATTATAAGAATTTATTAAAAAAAAAATGAACTATTCTTTTTAGGTATTTGTAAAAATATATAAAACATTTTGAAATGTAAACATTATATTTAGAATTATTTTCTTTTTAAAAACTAGTTAAACTATAAGGAAAAAAATCTTTATTTCTTTTTTTTTAAACTTTATGGTTTAGTCTTTTTAAAAAAATTTGAAGTATTCTTTTTAAGTGTTTATAAAAATATATAAAATATATTTTGAAATATAAACATTATGTTTAGAATTATTTTATTTTAAAGAACAATTTAAACTATAAGGAAAAAAATCTTGATTTCTTTTTTTTTAAACTTTATGGTTTAGTCTTGGTTCCACTGACTCCAAAGAAAAACTTGAATGAGGCCAGGATCTGTGTCTCAGTGTTTTCTTCTTTTATCTCCTGCTGTTTCCATGTAAAGTGTGATATTTGGCTTTAAAATTGTCTATAACTTTGTAATATTTAATGATAAAAAGTTCTGACAAGCTGATACATAGGTAATCATTAAATGCAAGCATGCTAGCATGTTATCCTGACACTGAAATCAAAAGAAAATTTTCTGTTTCCTTCAGCAGAGCAAAGGTTTTGTCCAAAAAAAAGATTCTTCTGTTCTTATGCATGTGACTATTCCTCTGAGAGACAGAATGCTTAAAATGAGCCTTTCTTGATACCGTGCCATAGGCATCAGAGAAGACTGACTTTTCCTTGAAATTTCTACATGCATATGCTTCAAGAATATGTTAATTTTCAGAATAACCACAGAAATACAAGTTTGCTCGGTAGTGCATCACATGGTGTGTGGATACCATTTTGTTTCCAGTAATTATCATCCGTACTCAGTAAAAATTAGGGAAGGGCTTTCCACATCTCTGTCTGAGGTACTGGCAGCAGTTTCAGTGTTAAAATTAAGGCTGACCATGAAGTAATATAGAAATCACTGTAGTATATTTATTTAAAATTATTTGCTTCATTCTTCAGATTATTTTCCACGTTGCAGTTGTGTATCATAAAATACGTGACGTGTGGACCAGAACGTGAAGTTAAACTTAACTGTAGTTTGTGTCCAAACTGTCCCAGTCCTGGAATCAAATCTTGAGTCTCCTGATTTTGGGTTGCAGATGCCAGTGCTTTCCCAGTGCCAGGGAGTGCTCTCCCAGCAGTATGCCACCAGAGCAGTGTACATCTGTACTTTTATCTGGGCAGCTGGGGTCTGGAACAGGCAACACTTCCAGCTCCCTCAGGCTGGCATTGCCAACAAGGGCATTCCAGCATCCATATACTGGATGGATGTTCCTGCATCCATATACCCTGTCCCGGCGTGGTGTTGTCCAGCTGTATGGTGGTCTGGAACACGTAAGTGCTACAGATGAAAGCAGCCTGTTGGAAATAGGAGGAATTTTCAGATGGATGTTTCCAGTGGCTGGCCCACCTTGTCGCCGCGCCGCCAGCGGCGGTGGCACGCGGGAGGAGGCACAGAGTGGGCACAGGAGTGGGGAGGCAGCAGGACCGTGCTGGTTCGGGGCCTCTTGGGAATCCAGGGAGCTGCAGCTGCAGGGTGCCCCCCCTGACCCATTAAACCCATCAGAGTTGGGTCACCCTGCCCTCTTTTCAAAGCTGTAATAGTGCCATCCGTTTGTGTTGAGGAAACAGAAAACTGGTCTTTTTTTTTTCCTTCCTTTTTTTTTGCCAAGTTACTTTTCAGCCAGGACAGGAGGTGGCTCACTGCTGGGAGCAGGCAGTGGAGATGATGGGAGCAGGCAAGGTTTCCCGACCAGGCTGACCGGGTGGTTGGATGCCCCCGGAACAGCAGTCCTGCCTCACCTTTTTTCCACAGCTGCCAAGGTGCTTGAGAGGATTGGGATTTCTATTGTGAAGGAGGGTAATTCCAGGACCACCATCTCAGTGATGCGATGATCCATGGGGTGGAATGTATCAGCTGCTGTCCTTCCCAACCCTTCCTCGGTGCTGGCTGGTAGCCATGTGTCTGACTTCTGCTTGCTCAGGGCTCGCTGGACAAGTCGCTGAGCTGGTTTCTCTCTCTGAAAATGTAAGAAGTTGTTGTTCTTCTGGTTGTGTGCTCTTTATGATGCTCCTCACGGTCCGTTTGCTCACTGTGGAGTCTGGCAGACACCAGCTAAGGGTGAACAGTGGCCGTGCACCTGAGCAGGTGTGAGGAGGGCAGGAGAACAGGACCTTTGCCTGGTTGGGTGGAAAGCTCTTCTCTCAAGTCCACCTGAAAAACTGTGCAGCGAATTGTAAGCGTTGTGGAACTAGTGGGAGAGCACAGCCTAGACTGGGAGGGATAGGAACTGTCTCAGACCGTAGACTTCCAGCCTTTAAACCTGGATAAATTGTCTCCTGCACTTCTCTTGAGGGGCTTGGGGAGTAGGTTTTTCCTCCTTTGTTGATATCAGCTCTGGCTGAGGTTAAACGCTGCCCTGCTGAGACACTGTGATAACACTTTTGTTATGGAACTTCCCACCTTAATGAAACTAAAAAGTTTCAATGTTTTGGCACCAAGGAGTTTGGACAAAATTCAGATACCATTTTAATGTTGAATTTTATTTTTTTTTCACTTTTGTGTTTCCATAGTAACATCAAGGCCATATCCATTCTTTCTTTGAATGAGTCCATATGTACATGCTAATAAGGAGTGTACTTGGGCTCCACCTGTAGCTAGGAACCTTTCCATGTGACCACAGCAGTTTTGCCCCTCTACTCTTCTGGCTTCAGACAAGACAGAGAAGGTAGAACACACCAGCTCTTCTCCTCGCTACCCCTTCAAACCATTGGAAGAAGAGACACAGACACGCAAGCAGAGCAGAAGGGTGATCCTAGAGCCAAGGGGTCAGTGCATGTGCTTCACCCTGTGGTGATGGGCTCCAGGGTCCTCAGACGTGGGTCAGCCTTTTCCCTGTCTTACGAGACCTGCTGTGCCCTGGCCTCTGTGGGCTCTGCTGCTAAGGCAGAGCCATTCCCACCCAGCGCTGCCCACGCGGCCTTTTTGGCATGAAAGCTCCAACCTTTGCACAAATCTTCTGAAGAGCAGCTGTTACTCCCTGTACTGTATAACAAGTGGAGAGGGACTGTGTGTATGATCCCATATTCTCTCAGAATTTATCTGGTCAGTCCTTTATGTCTTTCTCCTCCTGGCACCAGCGAGGATTCCGTGCCCGTTCTGGCAGGTGTGCAGTTGCTCATGCATCTTTGCATGTTATTTTCCTTGCAGAGGGAACAGACTCCATCACCATGACTGTCAGTCCATGCTGGCCACCATGGATGTATAATTTACAAAGGGTACACAGTCTTCCACTGGGGATCTGTCCGCTGCAGGTTCATCCCAGTGAATGATACCTCAGAGTCATCTCCTGCTCTGCCACGTGCCAAATTTCACCTCCGATGTCTACAGTAGTGGCTGTAAATGGTGAACTTGTGTATCCATTAGCCTCTTCCATCATTGCCTTTATCCCAGTGACTCTCTGCTAGTAGTGTTTGCTGAGGGATGCCCTTTCGCTACCAAAAATGTTCATTCTGGACGTGTTCCTCATGGCGTGAGGATGCACTCTGGCTCAAGGTATGTGAAGTACAGGGATATTGGTGGCGTTGAACTTGCCTTGCCAGAGTGCTTGGAAAACTTGGAGTCTGCTCTCTGAACGGTCACGCACACATGGAGTGATGGACAACTGTGATGTAGCATGTAAAGAGGAAAAGGGGAACTCTCCTTCTTTGCATTATCTGGAGCTTGTCTGGGTATGAAAGCCAGAAATATTCTGGGAGGTTTTGTCTAAAATCCTGACTGGATGTCTTTCAGGAAGGAGGCAAATCTGACATAGACCTCTTTGCCACTCAGGCTAATGGGAATCTCCAATTTTTGTGGGTTGACACATTTTGCTCACAGGTGGGTCAGTGTTTGGAGTCCCTCCTAGTGAATTTTTAATACTATGGTTTCAGCTACTGTAGGCTTCTGCTCTTCTTCCATGTCTTCTGAAGGCCCTCATCGCTCTAAGATGGACCTTGCTGATCTTAATTAACCAGGAGCTGGTTTAGTTCCAGGGCTTTCTTCAAATATTCATGTTAAAATTGCATTTTAACCAGGGAATTAGACTCCAGCTTTTCTTTCCCTTGCCATACACTCTTAAGACTATATACTTCCATCTCCACAGTTAGGAGTCCTCTCTCCTTTTATCTCTACAGGTCCAAACCTTTTCAACCCTGTTACAGGCTCATCATCCCTGGGAAATGTGGTATTTGGTTTTCCCTACGTAATAAAAAGCAACGATGGACTGAATCCTGACTTGCTATCAGATTGCAAAGGTGGAGTCCAATGAGGGCTAGTGTGCACCTGACCAGAGCTTAGATGGCTTCACCCTCTGCAGTCAGGAAAGTTTTGATTCAAGATACTTGCAACGCAGCTACCTGGAGATTCATCCTTGCCTTTGCCAGGCATAACACTGTCACCAGTGCTTCAAGAACCAATGCAGCATTTGATAAAGTAGTTGTGCAGTTACTACTTGCATGAAAGATATTGAGACCTCCACCACGTAACGAGTCCTTGGGGGTAGCTGCTTGGAATCAGTCACAGTTAAGAGTGCACATGGGATTCATTCAAAGAAAAAAAGGTGCCTTACCAGTAACCGGTGTTCTTCACAATGTGTAGTCCACATATACATTTGTCTTCCATCTGCTTCTCCTCTCTCCTCAGAGTCCTTCCAGGTATGAGTCCTGTGATTGAGAGGTAGAATTGTTAGAATGTACATTTGGGCTACACTTCTCAAAGAGCATCGGTTACTGGTAAGTAACCTTTCTTTTAGTTTTAGATTGTTCTTAAAGAAGAGCTGAAAGAGTCATCACCTTTCTGCATTTGCACTGCTTCTGTCCTGGGGTCAGAACTCAATTACTGCTCTGAATCTCACCCACAGAAGTTAGATAAAAAAAGGTCCTGAGATTACATGATTCATTCAAAACAAAAAGACTGTTCCCTGGTGTACCTTTTCTTTTTCTGTTTAGTTATTTAATTATGCAATATTGCTCATTGCCAAAGAGGTACTTACTTTTGGCCACGTATGTCCACAAGTGGTTTTGTGAACAGTATGTTGGTGGGTTAATATGAATCATGTTCTTTTAAACTTTCACACTCTGAAAACCCTATCATTATCAATTTGCTGAGAGTTACCGTGGAGAACTGTCATAGGTAGCACCCATCTCTGGGCTTGACCAACTGGCTGGTAATGCTGCTTGTTATGCTTAACTTTCGGTATGTTTTGACATGGATTTTTCACCTTTGGGTTATTATTTGAAAATTCTTTCTGAGTGTCACTGCAGTATAATGGATGCATCGATGCATCAGGAAATATTCAGTACCTCAAGGGGGCCTACAAGAAAGATGGGGAGAGGCTGTTCAGGAGGGCCAGTTGTGATAGGACAAGGGGTAATGGTTTTAAAATAGAGGGAGGTAGATTCAGGTTGGATATTAGGAGAAAATTTTTTACCATGAGAGTTGTAGAACACTGGACCAGGTTGCCCAGAGAGGTGGTGGATGCTCCATCCCTGGAGACGTTCAAGGCCAGGTTGGACGAGGCCCTGAGCAACCTGATCTAGTTGGAGATGTCCCTGTTCCTTGCAGGGGGGTTGGACTAGATGACCTTTGAAGGTCCCTTCCAGCCCTAACCATTCTATGATTCTATGATTCTATTCCCAGAGGTGTTTGATAAGCTCTTCGTGTTGTATTACTCCAATAATTAGTGGAAACTCTTACCATACTCTGAGGTTACTTACTTAGGGCATAACAAAACCAAACTGGGCTGCAGTTGCTCTGGAACAGTCAAACAGCATCTTACAGTAGAGAAATGGCCTCATGCAAAGGTTATTTATTCAGGCTGAGTAAAATACCTTCCGTAGTAAGAGTAAGTCATTTTGGTACGGCATAGTTTGCCTTTTAATTGTAAGTTAATTTAATTTAACCACCTTCTTAATTAACTGTCTATGCACCAATTAAAGTTTCATCTGATACTGTGGCTATATTTTCCCTTAGATTTATAAAAACAAGTACATTTGTAATTTTCCAAACTATCTAGTGAGAAGTTTTGGCATTTAAGCATAAAAGAACAGCTCTGTTAAATAGCACATTTATAAATATATATATATATAAAAACCATAAACTTTGCATTCCTTTGTACTGATATCTGATTGCAGTCATGTATTACATCAATGGAAGCACTGCAGATTCATCATTTCTTTCAATTTCTGATGAACAAGTTTTTATTCAGATGGGACCAGACCCTGTGCTCAGGATGATGTGAGTTCTTTGAAATCAGCAGAGTTATGCTGATTTGTACCAAACAGGATCTGACTTGTAGAATGTGGAAAGTGATCAACCTACATCCATGGGTAACTAACGTCTGAGATCTTTTGTAGCTGTAGTATGCCCTGAATTTGACTGATGAAACTAGAAAAACATTCATGTATTTACCTTTTGTGGTGAAACTAGCACAGTGTAGGTGGCACTTACCGTGGGCCGTGTTTTGAAAATGGGAATAATGCAAAACCACTTGGAAATTCAGCTGTTCATGAAGGTCAGAGTGTTTGCATGTGCATTGTTGTACAGGTGAAGGAGAAATGTTCATGCAGTGCACAGTTTAAAAAGCAGGCTTAAACTTGCAAACACAAATTGCAGTTAGAAAAAGAGACCGAGGCTGATCTTGGTTGAAATTTTTGAAGAAACAGTAATGACTTTGGGTGCCTCCATTCTTTCATCTCTAACTTGAGATGTTTTCTTATTAAAGACTCCTTGATACAGGATCTTTTCAGGTGTTTAAAAATAAGTATCCAGGCTTATTGGCAAAGAAGAAGTAAAAATAAAGAATTCTATGTTTTGTTTGAGTATGGAAATGGAAAACCAGCTTGGCAATCCCCTTGCCACACGTCGGTTCAGAAGCATGCTTGCCCAGAGAAGCTGTGGCTGCCCCATCCCTGGCAGTGTCCAAGGCCAGGTTGGATGGGGCTTTGGGCAACCTGGTGTAGTGGAGGGTGTCCCTGCCCATGGCAGGGGGGTTGGAACTGGATGATCTTTGAGGTCCCTTCCAACCCAAACCATTCTATGATTCTATCTGGCTTCTCCCATTGCTACCTGCTTCCCAACTTGAGTGCTTTGGAAACATCCCCAGTAACCCTCTGCAGACAAAGGTTTCCATGGTTTTGAAACTTACGTTACAGGTACTAAATCCTGAAGTATAAAAACATTAAGGTGACTTGAAAAGCGAAAGTTCTTCTCTTTTTTATACAGCAAAATAGCTCTGGATAAACCATCTGGATAAACACTATTTAAGAATCTTTATGTTAACCATTAAAGCTTAAACTTGTAACTTTAATTTAGAGTGTCATGTGCTGCGCTATTGCAAACTGCAGTATCTGTTCTATGAGAAGACAGGAAAGAAAACTAAATTTCAGGTGGTTTAGGCACTCCTGACTTTCTTGCAGCATTGATTCTACGTTTACATGTAATAATTCTTATTAAAATCTTTAAAATGCGTCACTTGCGGTAAATACGCGCTGCTTTCTGAAATAACGTGATTTTTAATCTAATCGAATTTTTTTACTGTTTAATTTAATTTCGTTATTTAGGTTCACTACGAATACTGATATTATTTTATAATCTGTTTCCTGCATTTCTCAAAGTAATCTTAAAATATTTCTGTTCCAGCACTTAAATGTCCAGTAAGAAGATTTCTGTTAGCTACACTGAAAGCTGTTAGGTGTTTCCTATAAGTCTCCCCGGGACCAAGATTTTTTCTGTTTTCTGTGTTATAAGCTGTAATTTTGGGCACATTATAGCCAAGGCAAAATACTGGTATCTCGCAAAATATTGATATCTCATTAGTATCTTTAGATTATGGTTTCAATAGTTTTAGATTCCAAATATCACTCCTAATGTGGAATGGCCTTAATAAAATATTGTGTTTTAGTAAAAAGTGAGAGAGAATAAAGATGTGAAATCATAGCAATTTCAGTATGATCAAGATAAACATGCTACATACAAATCTTTAAAAGAAACTGTTGTGAAAATGAAGGATTCATATTGTTCCAATATTATTGTTTACAGGCTGAAGAATTTACCGTTCACTTTTACTAAACTTAAGGAACTTGCAGCTTTGTGGCTTTCTGACAACCAGGTAATGACTTTCAATATTCATATTTTCTTTAGTAACTAGGAGTCTTAGCAAGGGCAGTAAATGAAACCTGTAATTTAATGCGTGATTGTAGTAGGATTTTAGAAGTGTTTGCTCCTAGTCCAGCTTTATGCTTTCGTATCAAGGTATAAATGCTTCTGGCTGCCATTTATTAACTTGGAAAGATCACCTTTGCAGGATTTATGACTTGCATCTAACTAAGTTTCCATATCCTTACAAAAGTAGTAAATAAAGGCCAAAAGTATCAAGAGAATATTTTGCAAATAGAAATTCCAGAGGTAAGACTTTGGTACCAAATTTGATTTCAGTTTGTCCCATCCTTTACTCCATCTATACCTCTATTCTTGTCGTCTTCCTTTGCCCTTTTCCTATCCAGGCTTCCATTCCTGCATATTTTAAACTCCATTAAAGTCAGTGGGAGTTTAAACATGTGAAAGATGCACAAGAACTCTTAGTCTTGTTTTGGAGAAAGCTCTCATTTAAGTTCCTTTTAAATTTAAGCATGCCTTCCTTTGTTCCAAGGGGTTTGGTTTCACTACTACATATTCTCTAAGATTCTGTTTTAAAACAAATGATGTAACACGAACACTGAGAAATGTAACAGTTCAACCAGCATCTGAGCACTAAAATAAGTCTCGATCCTTCCCAGGATTGGTGGATAAAACAGTTTTGCACTTCCATAATTTAACTCTAAATGGAGAAAAACTCCATTTGTACAAGGTTGGAAATGTTCGACATACCTAACAATTTTTAATAATCTCAATAAATTCTCATAATCTCATCTTTGAGATGATGCAACAGTGCATGACTCCTCAGCCTGGCCACAGGATGTACATTTCCTTTCAAGTTTATAATATTTTTTCAGCATTTTGACTGTTCTGTGTACAGGATAGGTTTCTGGTTTTTGAACTGTGACAGTCACTCCGAGATGCTGCATGAGAGCAAAGCCATAAAAAAAAGGATCAATTAAAGTAAAACACAACAGTAACATCTGAATATTCAGACTACCTCTGGGTAAAGTCTCAGGTATCTTGCACCAGGTTTACCCTCAGGTGAACTAATAGCTATTGTGAATTTACTCCTGTTAGCCCTAGCTTGAAGTAGATCACAGCCATAACGTGGGTGTTTTAACTGTGTAGTTGCTGCTCTGTTCTGCTCATCCTTTAGCTTCTTCACTGTATGACTGAACATTCAGTCTGTATTTCTGATATTTAGTGTTCTTCTGTTGATCCTGGTAGGAATTACAGAAGTGAGGAATGGGAGAGGACACATTTCCACCAGATTAATACTTGGTTTAGTCCGCAGGGAAGTTTATTTTCGTATAGAATTTTCGTTACTCCTGTGTTTTCTGTTTATCAGATGCTAAAATCCTGGCTGGGTTCACACACGTGCTCCAAGTTAACTGTTGTTTTGCTTTTCCTGCACAGTCCAAGGCTCTCATCCCGCTGCAGACCGAGGCTCACCCAGAAACCAAGCAGAGAGTACTGACAAACTACATGTTTCCCCAGCAACCCCGCAGCGATGAAGGTAAAATGCCATCAGCAG